AAGTATCTAAGCTCTTTGGAAATATAAAAATTGATTGAGATTTTATAATATCTTTGGAAAATATAAAAATTGATTAGAAATATTATAACCTCTTTGGAAAATATAAAAATTAATTAGAAATTTTATATCCTCTTTGGAAAATATAAATTCCGATAATGAATTAAATAAAAATTGATTGAAAATTATCTAAGCTCTTTGGAAAATATAAAATTTGATTAGAAATTTTATAACCTCTTTGAAAAATATAAAATCTGATAAAGAATAAAATAAAAATTAATTGAGAATTATCTAATCTCTTTGAAAAATATAAAAATAGATAGGCATTTTATAAGCTCTTTGAATAATTAAAAAATTAATTAGAATTTTTATATCCTCTTTGGAAAATATAAATTCCGATAATGAATTAAATAAAAATTAATTGAAAATTATCTAAGCTCTTTGGAAAATATAAAATTTAATTAGAAATTTTATAACCTCTTTGAAAAATATATAATCTGATAAGGAATTAAATAAAATTTGATTGGGAATTATCTAAGCTCTTTGGAAATATAAAAATTGATTGCGATTTTATAATCTATTTGGAAAATAAAAAAATTGATTAGAAATTTTATAACTTCTTTGGAAAATATAAAATCCGATAAGGAAATAAATAAAAATTAATTGAGAATTATCTAATCTCTTTGAAAAATATAAAAATAGATTGGAATTTTATAAGCTCTTTGGAAAATTAAAAAATTGATTAGAATTATTGTTATAACTTCTTTGTAAAATATAAATTCCGATAATGAATTAAATAAAAATGGATTGAGAATTATCTAAGCTCTTTGGAAAATATAAAACCTGATAAGAAATTAAATAAAAATTGATTGGGAATTATCTAAGCTCTTTGAAAAATATAAAATCTGAATGGGAATTTTAGAATCTCTTTGAAAAATAAAAAAAACTGGCAAGTTTTTTGGGTATTTTTCTATTATATACACTGTTTGGCATATATCTTTTATGTTACTAATGTTGTCCTTAGTAGTACCTAATCTGTACCTAAGTTAGTTGTTGTTTACTATCATTATACCTATTATTATATCATAAATATCTGATTTTATGATAACACCTTAATCTTCTTTGGTAAGCTTTTAGTTTTTTTTTTATGTCATTCTTACTTTTCTCCAGAAGTTATATCGTGATCCTCACAAAACTAATAGTATTCAAATTTTCTTACTGTGTAATCAAATACGTATAAATAGAGCGTAAAAGATTTGCAAAAAAGAATGTCATATTTCTCAATTGGGGGGCTGGTGTGACATCACTTACCCCTCCTCTCAACTATGGGTTTTTGATATAACTTAGCCCCTAGGTCATACAAATTCTGAGCCACTGCATTCGTTAAAATGACGTACTTAATTATACAATAATAAAATTTCCATAATTAGAAAATGAGAGGCACTCATTAGATTTGGCTAATCTACACACCGAACACTTTTATTTAAAAAAATAAAAAAT